TTCTGGACTCCACGCAGGTCGGGTTTCCCTTGAGCGCCTTTCTGGCCCAGCGCCGCTCCAAAGGGGGGCGGATGAGGGGGATTGACAAGTATGCCAGGTAAGAAAACTTGCCATGCTCTGAGCAGAAACGCGACCTTCTCGGGCGGAACTAGTGCGAGGATAAATCCGCTCCAGAGCGTTCCGGTACGCTCTCAGAGCGTTCCGGAACGCTCTGAGGAGGCCGCGGCCTATGATATATCTTCCAGACTCCAGAGCCGCCCGATCTCAGAGATTGTCGATTCATCCTCATCCGATTTTCTCCTCGTCCTGGCTTCGTTTCAATCTTGGGCCCTTCAGCCCTCGAAGACCCCTCTTGGGGCCCGCTCGGGCCGCCTTCGGGTGTTGCCAGAGGTGCCCCTGGCCCAGGGTGCCTTCGGGACTTCCCTGGAGGCCCCCAACGGCCTCCAGAGCACCCCCCACGAGGCCCAGCGGGCCGTATTGGCTCCAAAATGGAGCGCAAGGCTGGGGGCACCTTGGGCCAGGGGCACCCTCAGCAACCCCCGACATCTTGGGGGCCCTCCACGTCCCCGCTCCAGTCGAGGCGCCGCCGGCCCCGCCGGCGCCACCCGCGCCTGGCGCGCCGCCCGGGCACAGCGCGCCGGCGCCTGCCCCCCGCGAGTCTTCTCCTCCTCCTCCTCCTCCTCCTCCTCCACCTCCTCCGCCTCCTCCTCCTCCTCTTCCACCTCCTCCACCTCCTCTTCCTCCTCATCTCCTCCTCCTCCTCCTCCTCCTTCTCCTCTTCTTCCTCCTCCTCCTCCACCTCCTCCTCCTCCTCTCTCCTCCTCCTCCTCCTCCTCCTCCTCCTTCCTCCTCTTCTCCTCTTCTTCCTCCTCCTCCTCCGCCTCCTTCTCCTCCTCCTCCTCCTCCCCCTTCTCCCTCCTCCTCATCCTCCTCCTCCTTCTTCTCCCTCTCCGCTCCCTCCTCCTCCTCCTCCTCCTCCTCCTCCTCCTCCTCCTCCTCCTCCTCCTCCTCCTCCCTCCTCCTCCTCCTCCTCCTCCTCCCCCCCCTCCCCCTCCTCCTCTTCTTCCTCCCCTCCTTCCCCCTCCTCCTCCCTCCTCCCCTCCTCCTCCCCCTCCTCCTCCTCTTCCTCCCCCCCTCCTCCTCCTCCTCCTCCTCCTCCTCCTCCTCCTCCTCCTCCTCCTCCTCCTCCTCCTCCTCCTCCTCCTCCTCCTCCTCCTCCTCCTCCTCCTCCTCCTCCTCCTCCTCCTCCTCCTCCTCCTCCTCCTCCTCCTCCTCCTCCTCCTCCTCCTCCTCCTCCTCCTCCTCCTCCTCCTCCTCCTCCTCCTCCTCCTCCTCCTCCCTCTCCCTCCCCTCCCCCGCCCGGTCCGTGGCCCCCCCTCTGTCGTGCGTGCCGACTGTGCTGCTGCGTGCTGCGCATCCGTGCCTGCCTGGCGGGCCCCGCCTCGTCGGCGCAGCAATCCCCCGGGGCCTGCTCTCGGCCTGGGTGGGGCCTACCTTTAGGTCGGGCCCGTCCCTCCACAGGGGGAGCATTCCAGAAGAGTCAAAAACAGTCTGGGGACGATTTTTGGACTATTCTTGAGTTATTTTGAGCCTTGTTTGGGTATCTTTTACGTTTCGTCCAAAATCCGCCTGTAGGGGGACACGCCCGACCTCAGCCTACCTGGGCCCGGGGCCTGCCTGGGCCCTTCCCAGTGCCATCCTGCTTTCCTCAGCTTCGGCCAGCCGTTGCTTTCAGAAATATTGGATTGTGCCGAATGCTCGTCACGTGTCCCGGGGACATCCAAGCCAGTTCTTTCCATGTTCCGGTGGCCGCAGGCCCCTCAATCCTGCGATAGTTTGCGACAGTCAAAGTAAATCACGCCAGAGAAAAAACCCACTCAGTGGATGGTTTTCGCTGAGGAGATCGACCAGGAACCCGGCAGCCCGGGAACCCAGAACCCACCGACATCGGCCCGGAACCAATGACCGGGAACCCGGGAACCCGGAACCCGGAACCCGGGAACCCAGCCTGCTACCAAAATCGGCGGGAATTTTCGCCGAATTTGTCAACTTCCGCTAGGACCCCTTCAGTGCAAGCACTAATAGGGGGGGATCCCTTCTGTCTTGGGTCACTTGCGAACCGTGCCTCCTGCGGGTCCGGTCGACGCTGTTGTTGCGGACGCCGCTTCAAGTGTGGTTGCCTACCTTTCAAGCCCTCGGAGAAGGGTTTAAACGCAGGGCGTCGGCTCAAACCCCTCAGCCCTGATCCCCTCTTTTGAAACCTCCTTTGCACGACTTTTTCCCAATCATCCTGTGGTGTTGGGTCTTCGGTTTGAAGAGAGAGCGCCCCGCGTCCACTCCTCCACTCCTCCCCGTCCTCCCTCCTTCCCTCCTCCCATCCTTGGCTCTACCCTCCGCATGTCAACCATGATGGCACACCCCTCACACGTTTCGTGGCCCCATAGGGGGCTCCACCGAAGGCCCCAGTGGCAAAGTCCTAATGCGGCTCCCCGCTCACCGCGTGTCCATTTCGGCAAACCCCTCACACGTTTCGTGGCTCCATCGGGAGATCCACCGAAGGCCCCAGCGGCAGGGTTCACATGCGGCTCCCCGCCCACCGCATGTCCATTTCGGCACACCGCTCACACGTTTCTTGGCCCAGTTGGGGAATCCACCGAAGGCCCCAGTGACAAAATGCGCGTGCGGCTCCCCGCGCACCAAATATCAATTTGGGCACACCCCTCACACGTTGCGTGGCCCCATAGAGAGCTCCTCCGAAGGCCCCAGCGGCATGGTTCACATGCGTCTCCCCGCCTATCGCATGTCCATTTCGGCATATCCCTCATGCGATTCGCGGCCCCATGGGGTGCTCCACCGAAGGCCCCAGTGACAAAGTTCGCATGCGGCTCCCCGCCCATAGCCCACAGCATATCCATTTCGGCACACCCCTCACAAGTTTTGCGGCCCCATGGGGAGCCCCACCGAAGGCACGCCCTCCGCGCGTTGAGCTTCCCGACGCCCGCGCACTGTGCCCAGCGCCTTCTCCGTTGTCAGCCACCTGTGTTTTTGACTCCGTGCCGCGGACAAGCCGAGCGCGTCGCCGGGACTCCTTCGGGGCGTCTGGCGCGCGTCGCGGGGACTCCGCAATGTGTGGTACCCAAAGCCGCTATCACCAGAACGCAAGGACAGAAAGAGGGAGAACTACGAGAGAAGGAAAATGATGGAGCTCCACCGGAGGTCCCAGAGGCTGCACTCGCATGCGTCTCCCCCCGCCCGTTACAGCGTTTCGTGGCACAACCAGGAGCTCCACTAAATGTCCCAGTGGCCGAGCTCGCATGCGTCTCCCCCACCCAGTACAGCGTTTTGTGGCCCCAGAGGGAGCTCCACCGAAGGCCCCAGTGGCTGCCCTCGCATGCGTCTCCCCCGCCCGGTATAGCGTTTCGTGGCCGCATAGGGAGCTCCAGCGAAGGCCACAGTGGCTGCGCTCGCATGCGTCTCCCACCCAGTACAGCGCATCGTGACCCCATAGGGAGTTTTACCGAAGGCCCCAGTTCCGCCACCCAGCGCAGCGTGTCGCCTCTACCGAAGGCCCCAGTGGCGGCACTCGCATGCGTTTCCCCCGCCGAGCGCAGCGCTTCGTGGCCCCATGGGGAACTCCACCGAAGGCCCAAGCGCCTGCGCTCGCATGCGTTCTCCCTATCCAGTACAGCGTTTCGGGGCCCCATATGGGGGCTTCACCGAAGGCCAAAGTGGCTGCACTCGCATTGTGGCCTCGCGCCAATTCGGCGCACCCTTCACACGTTTTGTGGCCACATGAAGGAGGCTTTTCCTTCGGGCCCCACTGGCAGCGCCCGTTTGGCGGCCGCGCCCAATTTAGGCACGCCGTTCACACGCTTCGTGGACCCGTGCGGGGATCCACCGAAGGCGATGCCCACAACGACGGTATTCACAACTGCGTATGGTTGGGTCCTTCGCCAGTTTTTTTTGATTTGTTTGTTTTGTTTTTTGTAGATATCAACATGTTTTAGAATAGTTCAATCATAAAACACATGTGTATCAACTAAAAATGTTGCGTATGTAAATGTACACAACTGTATTTACGTATATGCACAACGTTAGATGTGTAGCGTGATTTGTTGGGCAAGTTTTTATATGGGTGTGTATGTATTACATGTGTTGTGTGTAGGTTTGGTTTTTGATTTGTATGCGTTTTTGTCGCGTGTGAGCTGGTACATCTGTTGTATATGTTTGTGACTATGCGTTTATATGTTTCCTGTCTTTATGCTTTTTTTCACAACCATCCTGTGGTGTTCGTTTTGCAGAGACAGCGCCACGCGTCATCTCCCGCCGTCATCCCCCTCCTCCCTCCTCCTTCCTCCTCCTGCCCAGTGCAGCGTTTCGTGGCCTCAAAGAGAGGTTCACCGAAGGCCCCAGTGGCTGCACTCGCATGCGTCTCCCACGCCCAGCCAAGTACAGCGTTTCGTGTCGTTTTTTGTTACCTACGTAAATATTGCGTATGTACATGTACACACCTGTATTTACGTTTATGCACACATTTAGATGTGTAGCGTGATTTGTTGGGCAAGTGTTTTATGTGAGTGTGTATGGATTCCATGTGTTGTGTGTAGGTTTGGTTTTTGATATGCATGCGTTTTTGTCACGTGTGTGCTTGTACATCTGTTGTATATGTTTGTGACTGTGCGTTTACATGTTTCCTGTTCTTATGCCTTTTTCCCAACCATCCTGTGGTGTTCGTTTTGCAGAGACAGCGCCCCGCGTCATCTCCCGCCGCCAACCCCCTCCTCCCTCCTCCTTCCTCCTCCTGCCCAGTGCAGCGTTTCGTGGCCACAAAAAGAGGTTTACCGAAGGCCCCAGTGGCTGCACTCGCATGCGTCTCCCACGCCCAGCCCAGCACAGCGTTTCGTGGCTTTTTTTTCTTTCTTCAGAAATGGGGCTCCACCGAAGGCCCCAGTGACTGCGCTCGCGTGCGTCTCCCCCACGCAGTACAACGTTCCGTGGCCCCATTGGGAGCTCAACCGAAGGCCCCACTGGCTGCTGTCGCATGCGCCTCCCTCGCCCACTAGCCCACTACAGCGTTTCGTGGCACCATCAGGGGGCTCCACCGGAGGCACCAGTGGCTACGCTCGCATGCGCCCCCCCGCCCAATACAGCGTTTAATTGCCCCATAGGGAGCTCCCGCCCAGTGGGGGAAATTCGCACGTGCTTCCCACGCCCAGTGCATCGTTTCGTGGCCTCGTGGGGACCCCACCAAAGGCCCCAGTGGTTGCGCTCGCGTGCGTCTCCCCCGCGCAGTACAACGTTCCGTGGCCCCATTGGGAGCTCAACCGAAGGCCCCACTGGCTGCACTCGCATGCGCCTTCTGATACCAGTCGGGGCTCTTGTGTCAGATATAGCTGAACAAATCGAGTACTCGAGCACACAAGTGGACTTAGGGAACTTACCGCTGCAACTATTTATGGAAAAAGATGTTCCCAATAAGTTATCTTTTCTGAAAATTATGTACCAAATAAGTTCCGTAAGTTCCCGAGCCCCCCTACCCGCCGCGGCCCCTCGGGCTCGTCCTTGAATGGGTTGTGCAATGGAGGAGGGAGGAGGAATAGGAGGCGGAGTGGGAGGATCAAGAGAGTGAGAGTGATGATGATGATGATGATGATGTTGATGATGATGAGACGGATGAGGATGATCATGCTCATGATGATGATGATGATGATGATGATGATGATGATGATGATGATGATGATGATGATGATGGTGATGATGATGATGATGACGGTGATGATGACGGTGATGGTGATGGTGATGGTGATGGTGATGTTGATGATTGACGATGCTTTTTCCCGCCCTCAATTAGACTCCGCGTGGGTCGACCCACTCGGTGGTGACCTCGAGGGTGACCTTGAAACTGGCCCTCTTTGGGTGCCTGTAGTCGTACTGGTTGACGTCGGGACTTGGTGGCCCTCCTGAACCATACATCTGCAGGAAGGCCTTCTTCAACCATGGGTTGGTCACGTCCTCGATGCACTTCCACTCCTGCTCGACCTTCTTGACCCGCTTCTCGGGCGGCTGGAAAATCTGGATCAGGTAGTCGCCGCCGCGCTCGGGCTTCTTGTCGGGTTCGGCGCGCGCGGCCTCTGCCATGGCTCTCGGCGGGCTCGGAGGCGGCCCCTCGGGAGTCCACGGGGCGGGCGTCTCGGCCTCGGCCCCTGCCATGGCGCGAAGGGCCTCGGCCTCTTGCATGGCTCTCGTCGGCGGGGGAGTGCGCGGGGCGCGACTCGTCGTGGCCTCGGCCTCTGTCATGGCGAGCGGGGGAGTGCGCGGGGCGCGGGGTGACATCAGACCGCAGCTTTGGGCCGCTGGCAAAAGGTATGCACACATATCACTTATGCGGGGTCAGCACCGCTTCAGCGGGTGAGCCGCTGTGGCGAAACCAAAATGACGATGCCAAAAAGGCGGATGATGTCTGTGGTTGTGATGATGTCGATGCGGGTGTAGGACGGAGGACTGACATTTTTGTGCCCAACCATCATCGTGTGGTGTTGGGCCCTCGTCGTCGTCCTCCTCCTCCTACTTCTCCTCCTCCTCCTTCTCCTCCTCCCCACCTTCTAGTTCTAATTCAGGGGTCCCTGAATCCCCTCCGCCCCTGATCCCCGACCACGCCCCAGGGGGCAAGGCCGCCCCGCGAGGGCGGGGAGGGCCGCGCCCCATTTATGTTTCACCGTGGTCGGAGACAGGGCCCCACCCCCATGTTTCACCAGGGCCCCACCCCTGTGCCCCCGCTTTTCAAGGGGGAAGCCTTCGTTCTCGAGGTCGAGGACATGGCAACGGTGCGTAAGTGAGTGCGGCCGTGTCGCTCATGTTTCCTTACTTATGTGCGCTTAAAAGGAGGGGGGTGGGGGGCCGATGGGACGACGACGACGACGACGACGGCGAAAGGCCCCGGTGGCAGGGCTCGCTCGGGCTACCACTACTACTACTACTACTACTACTACTACTACTACTACTACTACTACTACTACTACTACTACTACTACTACTACTACTACTACTACTACCACGACTACTACTACTACGACTATAACTACTACTACTACTACTACTACTACGACTACTACTACTACTACCACTACTACTACTACTACTACTACTACTACTACTACTACTACTACTACTACTATACTACTACTGCTACTACTACTACTACTACTACTACTACTGCTACTACTACTACTACTACTACTACTACTACGACTACGACTACTACGCTGTAACTACTACTACTCACTTATACTACTACTACTAATACTACTACTACACGCTACGTACTACTACTACTACTACTACTACTACTACTACTTACTTACTATACTACTACTACGACTAATACTACTACTACTACTACTACTACGACTACTGCGACTACACGACTACTGCGACTACTACGACTACGACGACGACGACGAGACGACGACGACGAGACGACGACGACGACGACGACGCGACGACTACGACGACTACTACTACTACGTAAACTACTACTACTTACTACTACTACTACTACTACTACGACTACTACTACTACTACTACTACTACTACTACTACTACTACTACTACTACTACTACTACTACTACTACTACTACTACTACTACTACTACTACGACCTCTACTACGGCCACGAAGCGCTGCATTGGGGGGGGGGCATGCGAGCGCGGCCACGGGGGACTTCGGAAGAGTTCCCTATGGCGTTGGACGCTGTACTGGAGCTCCCCTATGGGGCCGCGAGCCGCTGCGCTGTGCGGGGGATACGCAGGCGAGAGCAACCGCAGGGGCTTCCGGTGGAACCCCCAATGGGGCCACGAACCTTTGTATTGACTGGGGGAGACACATGCGAGTACCCCGTTGGGACTTTCGGTGGAGCTCCCTATGGGGCCACGAAAAGCTGTATTGGGCGAGGGGACGCACGCGGGCGCAGCCAGTGGGGCCTTCGGTGGAGTCCCTATGGGGCCACGAAGCGCTGTGCTGAGCAGGGGAGACGCGTGCGAGCTCCGCCGCTGGGACATTCGGTGGAGCCCCTACGGCGCCGCGGGGCGCTGCAGTATGAGGGGGGGCGCGCGCGAGCGCAGCCACTGGGGCCTTCGGCGAAGCCCGCATTTATGGGGCCACAAAACGCTGCAGTGGGCGGGGGAGGGCGCATGCGAGCTCCGCGGGCAAGGGGGGACGCACGCGACTGCAGCCAATGGGGCGTTCGGTGTAGTCCCTTGTGTGGCCACGAAACGCTGCGCTCGCTGGGGGAAACGCAGGCGAGCGCAACCACTGGGGCCTTCGGTGGAGCCCCCATATTCGGGCGAAGAGAATTATGCACATGCACCGATCCTGGCAAGGCCCAACCTTGACCCAGGATCGGTGCATATGCCTTCCTGGCCAAGGTAGGAGGGCGTATGCACCGATCCTGGGCTCAGGATGGGCCTGGCCAGAATCGGTGCATGTGCATAGTTCTTTTTCCTCTACATATGAGGCCACGAAACATTGTACTGGGCGTGGGAAACACATGCGAATTCCCCCACTGGGCGGGAGCTCCCTATGGTGCAACGAAACGCTGTATTGGGCGGCGGGGACCGCATGCGCGCAGCCACTGGTGCCTCTGGTGGAGCCCCCGGATGGGGCCACGAAGCGCTGTAGCGGGCGAGGGACTGATATCGGTCGGCGCTCTTGCGCCAGATACAGTTATACAAATATACGTGTATTCGCTTAACGGCTGATCAGGTAGCGTTGTACACCCACAAGTAGCGCTGCACTCGCTCAGAGGATGATGTAATCGCATAGATTGGATAGCTTAGTCGCAGGCGGCCCAACTAACCTAGCGCGCATCTTGGACGCATTCTGCACTTCGGCTACTTGTAACTTCTGACGCTGCCGATATTTATCGGACTTACCATCTAACTTATGCACGACTTATCTTACTTATGGGGCTTATTACGTAGCCCCAAAAATGCTCAGCGGGGGTTGCCTCACCCCCATGTTCCAATTTCCCGTCGTCGTCGTCGTCCTCGTCGTCGTCCTCGTCGTCGTCGTCGTCGTCGTCTTCGTCGTCGGTTTCGGAGGCGCCACTTCTGGTCGTCGGCGTCGTCGTCGTCGTCGTCGCTTTGTTTCAGCGGAAGCGCCGCTTCTGGTCGTCGGCGTTCGCTTCAGCGGAAGCGCCGCTGACCTGGTCGTCGTCGTCGTCGTCGCGTTCGTCGTTCGCATCCCCGCTTGACGTTTTCAAGGCTCGGGCTGCGGAGGGAGGGAGGAGGAGGTGGAGGAGGGGGGCAAGGAAGGAGGAGGAGGGGGGGGAGGAGGTGGAGGACACGCTCAACGACACGCTCAACGAGGAGGAGGAGGAGGAGGAGGAGGAGGAGGAGGAGGAGGACGAGGAGGTAAATTCTGAGCGCGTAGCTCTGCTCGAGCACCTGCGCTTCGCGCTCGAGGTCCTAGAAGTGGCCCGCGTATTCGCGCGGCCTCGCGGCGCAGCGAACGCTGCAGCGATGCGCTCAGCGCAACGTGTGCAGGGCCCGCCCGCGGCCGTCGTCCCGCGGGTTCTCCACGTCGAGCCAGCCCGCCTGGTCGTCCCACGCGTGAGACTGCACCCGCGATTGAGCCCCCCACCTGTACTTCTTCTTCGGCACCGTGCGGATCGACCTGCCCTTGTAGTCATGGCCGTGCCACTCCTCGCCGTTCTTGAACAGCACCGTGGTCTTGATCGGAACGTCCGTGAGCTTGGGGCCGCCGTCCTGGCTCGCGCCGCTGAGGCAATTGAACCGCACGGCCATCATGTTGTTCGGCCCGCAGCCCACGTAACCGTGCCAGTCTGCCATGTTCGAACGAGGCATGTGCATGGCGTAGTTGCGCTGATCGTCGATGTGCACCAGAGTCTCTCGATGCGGCGACGTGTCTGGCAATGACTCGTTGATGTAGTCGTACACCGTCATGGTGCGCCGCATAAGCTCTGGCAGCGCCGCCGCCATGGCGACAGCTGGAGAGCCCGCTGCAGGACAATTCACACACAGAGAGCGGCGGTCCCGCTGCTTGAGCCCACACTTGGCTACGGTTGTATCCCTATACATAGGGACACGCCCGCCAACAGCTCAATGATCAGAGGATGATGGTGGGAGGAAGGAGGAGGGGGGAGAGGAGGAGGAAGGAGAGCGTTCGTTTTAGCGGAAGCGCCGCGTACCTGGTCGTCGTCGTCGTCGTCGTCGTCGCGTTCGTCGTTCGCATCCCCGTTTGATGTTTTCAAGGCATATATATATACATATAATTTTGCAAGGCCGTGCGCTCTTTAAACCAGCACCGCGTGGGCGTCCCCATCGCGGTGCCACGCGTGGGCCGCGTGGGCGTCGCGCATGCTAACTGCCATCAACTCCCGCGAAAGCGAAAACCATCTGCTTGAGCGGGCACGCCTGCCAGTGGGCAGCAATTTCCTGACGACAACGCACAGCGCCCCACGTTCACAGACACAGGCCGACGCGAGGCCAGCACCATCCCCGGCCAAAACCACGTCGTGAACGTGCAACTCGCGACCATCCCCCCAGGCGCCATGACCCACATTTGGATAGCCTGGCAATTCCTTTCTAGACCCGCGAAGGCCCTCGCGGATGGATTGCACACCATCGGTCAAATCATTGTGGTGCCTCGTCAGCAAGTTCGAGAGGACAGAGTACTCGTGCCGCTCTGTGTTCCTGACGCTGTTCTCTGCGGGCTGCTTGACGCGAATATTTAATCGCTCAACAACGAACGTGTCGACTACAAACTTGTCTTTCCAAATTTGATCTGGAATATGCATCGTGGCGTGGTGTTTCGGAAGTAAATACCTCTTGCCGTATGCGGCTGCATGCCTACCCATGTGTATGCGAAGAGCGGCCCTGAGCTCATTGAGAATGGCTGCGAGCCCAGTCTGCGGGGCCCTCTTAGCCTCGAGGACGAGGTCCAAGACAGCACATGCTGCGCCGAAAGAGTCGCTCTCCCTCTCAAGGCCAGGGGTGTCGAGCAGTCTGCGTTCGACAAAATGCCGCATGATAACATACAAGGATATGTAATCACTTGCCTTGCACCGAATCTTCGACTCTTCCTCGGAGGATGCGGAAAATGCGTCGTAGACTTGGCTGATCTTGACGCCCATTGATAAGGGGAATGTCCAATCCGCCTTCACCAACTCACCCCACATCTCGAACATAATTCCCAGCTTGCTCTCGCAAGCCCTCACGTAAGCCGTGCGCCCCCAAGAAAATGCGCCATGTTGTAGATGATGGTGCACCCAGTCTGTGCGGATGATGTCAGATATGTCGAGGATGCCGCACAAAGCCTCATCTGCTAGAAGGCCCAGTGGGTTTGGGTTGAAGCCGACGCCCTGAATGAGCTCCTTGAAATCCCCAACGCCCATGGCCCCAGCGTCGCGTCTCGCTTTCGCCGCCAAAACGACAGCCAGATTTCCAACCATGTCCTCGTGATCACGCAACCGAAATTGCGAAATCTGAACAAGATATATCGTAGCACCCTGGAATGAGGTGTGAATCAGTCTTCCAACAATTGCCGCAAAAAATGCATGGCTTGTGGGAGCTTGCGCCCGCCCAGTCGAGCGTCATCCTGTGGCCGTCGAGGTCGGTTAAAACACCTTTCACCGTTGCGAACAGCAGGCGCGTTTGGCCGAGCACATTCAACGCCGCGCCCGCGTCTCTGAAGGACAGGGGGCCAAGCAGGATCCCACGCAGAAGTATTGCGAACAATCTGGACCACTTGCCCTCGACCTTGCCTATGATGTGATCCCGAATCACAGCGAAGGTCATCCAGGTTGACTCGTGGCTCAAAACTGATCCCCCGAGCTTTAAAACATTGAAAGAAACAACCATGGTTTTTCGTTTGTGGTTCGGCCTTTTTCTGTCGCCAACCGTGCACTCGTCTAAGCCGATGGCCATGCTCCAAGGTCTGTCAATCGAGCGCGGGCGCCTCGAGAAAGCATTCGAGAAACACGTCTGCAACTCGCCCGAAGCAGCCGCCATCTCCTGGAGAACGAGCGCGGGCTGGCAAACCCCCCATCGCCATGGTTCGCCAGTTGCCAAACGCTGATCGACGTCGAACCTCGCCCTCTCGAACAACTCGTGGTTTATAGCGCGAAGCTTCTTATCGCCGGCAGGCTCGCAACCGAGTTTCGCGGCAATCCGCGCTAACCCATCCAGCGATATCCCGCCCGTGTGCAGCGCGGGCTGCAGTCTCAAACGCTTCTGCGCTGCGTCGTGGGCCGTGGAGCGGAAAATGCCGCTGCCGCGGATGGGGGAGAGGGGGGGGGGGGGGGGGGCAATGCCATTGAGGGGGGAGGGGGGGGGGGTGACATGCCATAGGAGAGGGGGGGGCATGCCGATTTGGGGGGGAGGGCAGAGGATATGCGCACCCATATGATTCAGTCAACCCCACCAGCCCTCTGGGCGTGGGCGGCTAGATCGCTTCCTCCCCGACCCCCGTTCCTGGGGGCGGGCGGGCGGCGTGCGTGTGTGTGTGTGTGTGTGTGTGTGTGTGTGTGTGTGTGTGTGTGTGTGTGTGTGTGTGTGTGTGTGTGTGTGTGTGTGTTTGTGTGTGTGTTTGTGTGCGTGTGTGCGCGCGTCGCTCAAGGTGGCTTCCAAGATTGTCCAAGAGGGCCCAAGACCGCCCAAGGACGGCCCCAAGTGGCCAAAGGGCTCTCCATGGAGCCCCCCCCCCAATATATATAATTATTAATGATTTTAAAAAACTTGCTCCTCCTCTCATCCCTCTTTCTCCTCGCCCCCCCTCCCCTCGTCCCTCTTCCTCTCGCCCCTCTGACCATTGAGCTGTTGGTGGACGTGCCCCTATGTGTAGGGGTACATCCGTAGCCAAGTTTGGGCTCTGGCAGCGGGGCCGCCGCTCTCTGTTTGCGAATTGTCCTGGGCTCTCCAACTGTTGCCATGGCGGCGCCAGCGTTTATGCAGCGCACCCTGACGGTGTACGACTACATCAACGAGTCGACGCCTGAAACGTCGCCGCATCTCGAGACCTTGATATACATTGAGGAGCAGCACAATTACGTCATGTACATGTTTCGTTTGAATTCGAACGAGTGGCACGTGACCGACTGGCGCGGCAACGTGAGCTACTGGCCGAACAACATGATGATCGTGCAGTTCAAATGCCTCGGCGGCGCCAGCAAGGACGTCGGCGCCCCCAAGCTGGCGGACGCGGTGCTCAAGGCCACGGCGCCGTCCAAAACGAACGGCGGCGAGTGGCGCGGCCGCGACTACAAAGGCATGTCGATCCGCATGGTGCCGAAGGAGAAGCACAGGTGGGAGGCGCAGTCGTGGGCGCAGTCTCACGCGTGGGACGATCAGGCGGGCTGGCGCGACGCGGAGAACCCGTGGGGCGACGGGCGCGGGCGGGCCCTGCAGATGCGCTGAGCATCGTTGCAGCGTTGCTCGCTGCGCCGTGAGGCCGCGCGGCCACGCGGGCCACTTCTGGGACCTCGAGCGCGAAGCGCAGGTGCTCGAGCAGCGCGACACATCCTCCTCCTCCTCCTCCTCCTCCTTTTTTTGAGCGTGTCCTCCACCTCCTCATCCCCCTCCTCCTCCTTCCTCGCCCTCCTCCTCCACCTCCTCCTCCCTCCTGCATATGTATATGTATATATATACCATGGCGAAGAACCCAACTGTATGCAGTTGAGGGTGCCGCGTGGTGGGCACCGCCTTCGGTGGAGCTCCCTATGGGGCCACGATCCTCGTGAGGGGTGTGCCGAAATGGCCCGAGGCCACCATGCGAACCCTGCCGCTGGGGCCCTCGGTGGAGCTCACTCTGGGGCCACGATCCTTGTGAGGGGTGTGCCGAAATGGCCCGAGGCCGCCATGCGAACCCTGCCGCTGGGGCCTTCGGTGGAGCTCCCTATGGGGCCACGGTTCTCGTGAGGGGTGTGCCGAAGTGGCCCGAGGCCGCCATGCGAGCCCTGCCGCTGGGGCCTTCGGTGGAGCACCCTATGGGGCCACGGTCCTCGTGAGGAGTGTGCCGAAATGGCCCGAGGCCGCCGTGCGAACTCTGCCCCCGCAGATCCATTTGCACTGAAATTTCTTGGTCGCGCGATGACATGAAAATGTTGCCATGACAAGCTTTTGCGCGCTCGTTGAGTTTGTACAACGCTCGTTCAATTTGAACAGCGCTCGTTCAATTTGAACAGCGCTCGTTCAATTCCGCATGGCGTTGAACAACGCTCGTTCAATTTTGAGGCACGCTTGATCGGCGGTGTGATCGCTGAGTGGCCGAGGCGCATCATGGCCCGCGCATGCGCGCGCGGTGAAGCGCGCTTGCTCACCTGCCCATGGTGACCCCGTCGGGAACTTCATATAGGCCGCGAAACGTGGGATGGGTGTGCCCACATGCATGAGGTGCCGCCATGCATATCGAGCATTCGATCGGTGGTCCGAGTTCCCTCAGGGCCACGACACGTGTAAGGGTTGCGCCGAAAGAGATGCGGTTCCGCCACGCGAACGCAACCACAGGGGCCGTGTGAGGGGCGTGCCATGGGTGCGGTGCCGCCATGCGTGCGCAGCCATGGGGGTCTGCGGTCCGCAGCTGCGGACGACGTCCGACTGATAAACGTACGTATTTTTGTGTATACACAACGTGTGAACACATATATGTATATATATGTATATATATGTGTGTGTGTATGTATATATCATTATGCGTGTATAATCATCCTGCGATGCCCCCCTGATTAATTGTTCGACTTTCGTGTCAGGTGGGAACAGGAAAGAGTGACCCCCCTCGGATCCGTGAGGGCGGGGGTCAATGCCCCCGCCTGGATCCGCCCTTCACCTCCTCCACCTCTGCTGCCTCAGCTTGCGCGTGCCGCGGGCCCCAGGCCCGCGCCGCGGGCTCCAGGCCCGCGCGGGCCGTGCGCGGCCAGATCATGGCGATGGGGATGCGCCCCACGGCGGCGGTGGGCTCCACGTTGCTGAGCCAGGACGGCAGG